GGCCTCATGCCAGTCTGTTATGAGTTCCAAAACCCTCGCATGGTTCAAGAACATCCCTGCCTCAAAGTTAGTGACTGGTAATACCCTAGATTGTAATCGGTGCGAAAGTGAATCGAACGATTTTCAGTGCTGTTACACTTAAATCCCCTACCATCCATCCACCATCAGTTGACCGGACATTAAATAACTTTAGCTTTTTTCCCTCACTTGACAATTTAAAATTCCATTACTACTTCTTTAAGAAAAACCTTGAGAGCAAATTATAATGCAGAATTATAAACCGCATCCTTAGCCGCTTCCTTCTTAGACATAAAACTCCTTACCCCATAGTCCCTGGAGGCCTAATTATTCAACCTACAGTTTCTAGTTTCTTTGAGTTCTCCTCGCCGCTTTTTCTGGTTTATTATTATTATTATTATTATTATTATTATTATTATTATTATTATTATTATTATTATTATTATTATTATTATTATCATTATTATTATTATTATTACTTTTTACAGTTTTTTTTTTCAAGTTATTTTTTTAATATTTTGTCCGACCCGTATTGTTACTTCTTTTGTGTGACAAATATTGTGTTGAAAAATAGCATTTAAAATATATGAGAATGAATCTGCCTGCGCTGCGTGCAGATCAGTATTTCCAGCAGAGCCAGTCGTATCATAGAGCTGATTTCCTCTAAATAGAAATTCTGTCTGAACAATAAAAAAATAAAAAAAATAGAAAGAAGGTCGCGACTGAAATCAGGATTACGTAGCATTTCTTAGGCAATCGTATATGAAAGGAACCTTTTACAAAATCACTCCCAGTGATTTTTCAGAGTTTCGTGACCGACTAAACTGTAGTTACTTTCTTTCTTTCCCTTTTTGTTTAAGATTCGCACACAGTGCTCAGCGCAATTAGTGCTCTTTATATGGAGGACCCGTGGAGAGAATTTTAAATGAGTCTAGGCTTATAATAAGAGAACAACAGCTTGTTATGCTGCAATAGGAGGATTAGTGGAGCACTGTTTGTCTTTGTCTGCATGGTAGAAAGACCGCTCTCCGTCGTTTAATCTCGGAAGTAATTAGAATTTACTGCTGATCCTTTTACGTGCTCTATTAAACCTCATAAGTATACTGCTGAAAGTTTCTACAGGATGTGAGGTCAGCTGATGGGTGTTTGGAGCGGTGTATATCTGATTGTGGGCTTTGAGGCCTTCGGGTATGGTATATTGAATAGGTTATGGCAGGCACCACGTCTTTGAGACTGCAGTACGAAGAGGAAAAGAACGTTTATCGTAGCACAATTATGATTACCCACTATGAGTACTTTTGATAATGACTTTAAAGCAACTACTACCGAACCTCAAAAGCGGGCTGCAAGGCCTTTTCGAGTCTGTGCGTGGAACAAAAAACGTCTACTGATGACTCACGTTATTGGCCTGTCAGGACAGTACAAAAGTTAATATCGTAACATTTTTTCACAGAAAAAAGCCGGAACACTTTTCTTAATTAGATTCGCATCATAGTTTAAATCATCGGAAGAATTAAACCATGAATACTAATCATTTATCAAGCTGTGACTATTATAGCCTAGTAACAGCGAGTTTTTAAGAAACTGGCAAGGTCAAACCAGTTTTCCTAATTTGAAACTATACAGTCTTGATGAAACTCCTTTTTGTCCCATGTAACTGACGGCTCCGGCCTAAATCACTTCTTTTCCCCAGCGGGTAGAAAAATGCCTGGCTGGGCATACGGATCACTCAGTTTGTAGCCAAAAAACATTTAAAATTGTCGCTGTTCAAAGCCGGAGTGTAAATAACGGTCAAGAGCACTCCCGTTGAGTATACTAGCTTATACTTGACTTAACCACTCTTCTAAAAGATCACCTCACGGGACGCGTAAGACTAAATCTTGTTTGAACACTAAGATAAACAATGTGTTAATGTTGGACGATAGAGTAAACGACCCCATTAGTAGAAATTTGCGATTTGGTTTTCCACTTTGATCGAGATTTGGAAGTTTTATGATAGTCTTTGGTTAAAAGCTATAACAACTGACTTTAAGTCCGCCGTGTCGTACTGGTGAGTAGTTTTTTTTTTTATTATTATTAACACTTTTTTTTTCTTCAGTGGGATGAATTTAGCTTAATCCTCATAGTCCTCCCTTGGCGTCGGTCATGAAGAGGTCGGAGTAATCTCAGATTCCAGCCTTTTTTAACTGTATAACATGAAATCCCGTCGGTGTAATCTTTCAAACGAAACCTTTCAGACGCAACAGGACCTCTTCCTTATTTTCTCAATGTTATTCAAATTAATTTTACACGTCGAATGGTTGGTAAATGAGGTATATCCCAGTTCATTCATGATCAACGCCTGTTTACTGATAGAAAGCCAATTAAATCTAACCTCCAGGATAATCCAAGATTAAATATAACTAATAAAGAATTGAAACTATTCCCTTATTGAATTATCTATTGCTAAAGCATGATTGAATTGAAAAGCAGACAGATTAAGGGCAAAATTAAGAAGGTCAATTAACTTTTACTGACTGCGGAATAGAAATAACCTGCCTAAACACACTGACTAGCTCTGAGGATTTAACCGTTGGTCAAGTGACCGACGCGAGGAAAACAAGAGAAAAACATCAGCAAGTGCTCGAAATAGATCCACGCTTGGACCAGTTTTCAGTGACTCAGGTGGTCAAGCCCGGCGCCCGCTCATAAATGTTTACTTAGAAAGAGCGAGGTTATAGAGTCGGTTACATTACATTTGCGTTCTCTAAAGTAAAGTAAAGTAAGTAAATTGAGCGCTAGACAACAAACACTGAACACAACTTAATTATTTCTTCCGCAAGTATAAAATCTCCTCTTCTGATCTTCACTCGGATCAACAACGATAGATAAGCACGGATAATTTGAAGTGAACACTGACCGCAATAAACGTCTTCCTTTAAATCACTATCGACAGAGCCTGACTGACTTTAATATAATGACTTTAATATAATGATCAACAATCACACTGGCTGCATCAAAAATCAACGCTTTAGTTGAGTAAAGGCGATTCTTTGGATGCGAAGGGGAAGCTTGCAAGCCCACGTATTACATGAGAACGACCGGTTGGATGGTTTATTTTGAAATTCTCAGGATGAGATTACCTTTTAACCCCTGATTAGCTTTGAACCACGAGCCAAAACTTAACGTGACTTAACCACTTATAGTGGCTCACATCAGAACCGACCGGCGCCAACTTGTGTGATAACGGTTTTAGTGAAAGACTTGATAAGTGGAAATAAAAGTGAACTTCTTGATGTGAAGAGCCAATGTTCTGTAACGAGGTCATTGAAAGACTTTAGCAACTCCAGTCAAACTGGAAAGCTCGCTGACCACGGGGTTAACTGACTTTCTCTGAACTTGGGTAGGCTGCTCCATGCGGTTACTTTTGGAGAGCGCTACCTACATGCATCTAGGCGTGACAAGCCTTAAAAAAGTCCAAACTTTGCAGACAGAGAACGCACAAATAAAAACGATACTTCAGGACCACACATCCGAGCCTCCCCGCAGACGTCCTTTGGGGTTCGTTTGTCACACAAACGAACCCCAAAGGACGTCTGCGGGGAGGCTACACACATCCGAGATTTCGCGATCCGTCGGAGTTTTCCCCAACACTACGATTTTAAAGAAGGTTCTACTCACAACCAGGAGCCGATTACTGTCACAGCCCCTTCCAATCGTACTCTTGTAACTCTGTTACCAAGTTTTTCTTTTCATCGTAAACTGAACTTTTATTTTATCTGGGTATTTACCCTTGAGAAGTAAAAAGGTTATTTAAGAAAAATTACGTGATGTGAGGCGGAATGGAAAATCGTGACTGACTGTTGAGCAGGCGATAAACGTGACGACGTAATAAGCCCAGGTTGTTAAGCCAACGTCACCGATGTGCCAGTATTTAGTGAAGTTACCATATCTGCAACAAATCAAACAAAAATAGCTCAAGGACGTCAGAGAGCTTGTCCAGAGGGCTGACTAGAGAAGAAGAAATATATATTAGAAATAACAGGACTGCCGCAATATGCTATAAAGCAGATATTTGGACAATATCACTTAATTCACGGAGGTCTCTCATGTCCAAGAGGCCATTTGACAATATTTCAGATATCCAATTAAGTATGCCGGATGTATGACCACTAAACAGGTAACTACAGGTATGTTGAGGGTGCAAGAAACTGTGTTTTGGCCCCGTTATGCCGTTTGAAGTGTAAAAAGTCATACCTAATTGGGCGTAGAGAACATATTCATACATTATTATTGCTGATGTGTAAAGTGCTTTTCCGGCCCTAATTAACGCTTAGACACTGTTTGGTGTTAAGTGATTAACTTAGCCCATTTAAAGGCCATTATGGAGTTATCAAGGTGTGGCGTACCGATAAAATCTTTTTTATTTTCATTCAAGAACATAAGAAGCGTTGACCTTTGATGTTAAAACTATTATTTATAATCATAAAGCGTGTTTGTCTGTTGTTGCAAACCAAAAGCGACTCCTTAAATTCCATCAGTTTCAAGAGGAATGGTGAATTAAAGCAAAACCCATTTCTGCTGCTGCTGGACAAATCGTTTTGATTTCACCCAACGGTTAAAAAAAAATTCAATAAATAAACTTGCGTCCTCGGTTTACTAAGATGTAATTAGTGAACAACAGTCTTTCATTGAGCCTGGATAAGCTTTGAATACACCAAGTGCAAAGACCGCGTGAAATGAGCTCTAAATTGCCCGCATTCAACCAATGCTTTTATGAGTCTATTTCCGGTGTTTATGGAACTGTTAATTATTTACACAAACAAAAGATTGTACAGGATGACAGTTTTTCCCATCGCTCTCTTGCGCTATCAGCAGTTGAGTGATGGGGGCACGTCAATCTCCTTATCCAATCAACTCGCTGCGTGTTTAGTACCTTCGAAGAGCTCGCGAGACCCAAGCTTTCAGTCACTTGTTATTAGACTGCCGTGAAAGTTGTTACGATGCGTGTCCCACTCTTTCAAGGACTTGTTGTGCTATACGTCGCCTTTTACTCGTCTGTTATCTCGCATGCCTCCAAACGCGCGGGGTAAGTGTGCGACCTATCATTTTTACTCAACATCCAGTCGCGCGCATTTCGGACCGACCGGTGTCCATGATGTAGTTTTGATGAGGTTTCAAGTGATTATCGCGTAATTCGTTTCTAATTTTTACTGACCTTGTACAATTTGCCCGAATCTCCAAAGGCATCCCAAAGAAGCCAAGTTAACTCTGAAACCAGCCCGAGGCCAGCTTATGTTGTCTTCTGGGAAGATTAAACTCGGGGAAGTTTATCTATCAGGAATTGGTGCTCTTCGCGGTGAGAAGGTAGGCAACATTAACGATCTATTGTAGGTCCCTGTGATACAATATAGCAATAAAAGCAATCCAGTCGTGGGCTCCCACAGCTTAACAAAATGAAGCAAGCAATTATTTCTCTTTTATCTTGTATGTTTGGAATTCTTTGATTGCCGTATACCGTCATATTACCTCAATTTCTCAAGAGCTTCGTGATATGATTGTAGTCATTGTAAGCCGATATCAACAAATAGCTACGTAAACTTCAAAGTGTTCCCGTTTTGGAATAAAATAAAAATATTTCGTTTAACTCCTAAAATACGGTAAAACTGAATGTGATTAAGTAACACTCACACAAGAAAACGCAAACTGGCTACTACTGCTAATCAATACTTTAGAACCCTGCAATGTTATTGGAAAGAATCTAAGACACAAGAGCCGATCGGAAAAGCAGGGGGAAGTGGTTTTTTTTTCTAAAATCATCGTCTTCTACTCAGAAAAAAAAATTTGCGTTCATTAAATAGCACCAAGTTTCATTTTGCTCTTAATGTTTCCTGTGTCTGTGATCGTGTTGCACGTACATTGGATAAAGGGAACTGTCAGCGAGGTCAGTGAAGTTTTACTGTCAGCTCGTGCAAAGCTAGGGAACGACCCTTTGATACAGACTCTCTTAGTATTTTCTCATATTTCCATCTTTTAGGGTGAACAAGGACCTCAAGGAGACAAAGGCAGCCAAGGGCCTAAGGTAAAAAACTTAAACTTTGCGGCAATTTCATTGGTCATCATCAACAGGAGCAAAAAAATTTAATACTTATTGAACAAATTACCATCAGTTGGTATGAGGTTTGTTGTGAGCTTTTTGAGCAAAGGTAAATCAGGCACTCCTTTCTCTGAACAAAAGCTATCAGCAACCGTCGGAAAAGTAACAAGCGTACAAGAATATCACTTACAGCGGTCACAAGGCAGATGCAATCTTCAGTGGCCGGCGACCGCCGCCGGTTATTTTTGAGGGGGCGCAAACTTGTCGCAGGGACTCCTTTGTTGACATCTGAGCTGCGAAACTCTTAAAAAACATTGAAGTGTTATCGCTCTATCTCAAATATTACCTAAAGCAAAATGGAATTAACTGCGAGCTCTTCTTCCCTCTCAGAAGTTGAAACGCATAACAAAGGCACGTTACAGTATCATGAAAACCGCTGATCGTCCACAAATTGGTCCATGACAATGATTTTTCATGTCGCGTGCAATTGGATATACTTGGTGGAAATAAGCCGATAGATGTTGTTTAACCCCTTCAAATCCCTTTACTATAGATAGTTAAGGCACCTGTATATCATTAGTTAGCTAAGCATTTTAAATCGGCTTCGTGGTTTTTTTAAACATTAATCCTTGCGAAAATAACTATTTCTGGCGTTAGGGAATGAAAAGGACCGTGAAGAATTTCCTTCTTACGGAAATCTAGGATTACTTCCCACGGAAATGTTCATTTGAAGATTTATCTTTATCAAGACAAATTATTTTTCAAATGGTTTCAGAATGTTATATTTGTTACCGATTTGCCAATCTCTTTTTCACATGTAGACTGCAATGAAGAAGATAATGTCTCCTCTTTTCTAATGGAAATTCGTGTCTATACGGTATCGACGAATAAGCAATAACACTTGACGGATACTTGTAACATACATTACCCCACCACTGTTTCCCATTGTTTCCTTCCGTAGGAATTCGTGTGGTTTAGAGTATAATGTTTATCTGCCTGACAGCTAAAAAACAAACTCTTCATGTTGTTTTGACTCTGCCTGCACCAGGGTCGATGATAGTAACTGTAACGAGGTTTCCTCCACTTCCCTTGTAACTTCCAACAATGCAAAGCAATTTTGGAAAATTTTATTTAGCTCTTGTTTGATGAAATATAAGCACTACTAGGAAAAAAAACAATAAACAGCCCCGAGTTTTAAAGGACTTTCTTTCTATTTTTTCCCTGAAAACACAGAACAGAGAAGCTCAGTGCTGCATCATAGTCTTACAATTCAAAAATTGGTGTGTATTACTGAGAAACAAAAAGTGCGTGCAAACAGAGGCTCAAAACGATCCTTGAATGCATGGATCCACAATAGGACTTAAGTAAGAGGTTTGCGGAAGGTTACTGGAATTACACGACATGCTCAATAACTGACTCGAAGAGCAAACGAACTCGAAGCGGAATTCCCCACTGACAGGGCACTTGCGAGGGTTTACAATATTAACCGCTAATACAGGGATTTATTTTGTCTTCTGTGTGGCCTCTTATGTGAAGAACCTTATTTGGTTAACCCGTTGATGTAAGTCTCAAAAAATCAATCTCTTCTTTTTAAAATTCCTTTAAATAAAAAGTACTGAGAAGAAAACTTCCTACTAGAGAGGATTCTTTTAAATGGTAACACCATAGAATTTCATTCACAGATTTAAAAGTGAGAGTGACAAATAATTTCCCCATAACTTGGTCCAGGAGTGAAGGACGGGTTAAAGAGTTTGGCAGCGACAAAGGTCACACGATCTGCCTCAGCTTAGAACACTAATTCTACCTTAAATGGGCTATGGCGAGGTGATTTCCATTTTTTTTTTGCGTATTGATTCCCTTGGTTTCTTAAAGCAACTTACATATCGATGCATACAACGATTCCAAGGGACATGCTAGGGGCACCCAACGAGAATATAGTTCAAAACCACTTAAACATAGCATTGTTGAACGTATCTTAGTATTTAAACGGTGGATATAGGAATATTTTTATCTCCTAAAAATTTTTCATCTGTTCGGATTTCCTAGCTGAAAGTCTAATGATGCGAAAATTATAGGGATCAAAACTTATCTTTTTGAAAATTTCAGCCAGAAAAAAGGCTCCCTTAAATTCCAGGTGACCTTTTTAGGGTAAAAATCCGTTAAAAATGGGCAATTATACCATTTTTTAGATATTCGAAAATCCTAGGAGAGGCAGGCAAGTAAGAAATTTTACAACAAATGTTCCGAAAAGTCTAGATCTCAAATCGTCTTCCGAACAGATATTTTCCAAAAATTGACGTTGGGTGCCCCTGACATGTTAGTGTTTAATCTTCGTTGAGGATTTGTTCTACTCTCTCTCTCAAGCTATTTATTCTTCTTAGTTCTGGTCACTTTGGCTACTTAATGAATACATTCTGATCTTAAGAGCCATTAGGTATATTATCTCCGGCTACAGAAATGTAAATAAGATATAGACAGAAAGGGTTACGCTTTTGCATCAACAAAATGACCTTTCAGTGTGTGTTGTCATGAAGCATTCTACAGGCAACAAACCTTGTCCAAACCCTTTAACGATCATTTATCTTGAATTTTTTTTAACTGAAAACAGATGCATTTTTTCGTTTGGGCCTTATTTTCCTTTATTTTTCTGAAAACTGGTGAACGATAGAGGTTATGGCGAGAGGGTAGGTAAGCTGGGCAGAGCAAGTCCACAAACTACAATACACCGTTTCTTCAACTTATCGTGCAGTTCTGCAAGTTTCATTAACCATTTGGTCGTATTATCAAGAGCCAAAGTTTTAAATGTTCCGTATCCCGTTATATTAAGAAGATACGGTCCCTAACTATCCAAATAAACACGAAACACACAAACGGGTGACAACTTGAAATTGTTTTTTTCTTTCATCAATTTCCTTGGGATGATTACGCCTTGGGGTCATACCTTTTTGCACGCATCCCGCGGAGACACCTGTAGCAGCCATTGAAAGTTTAAACTGGCATAAAGTTACTTAAAAACAAAGATAAAAATTAATGGCTGAATCAAGGACGACATATATCATTGCCAAACCACGAGCCAACAATTTTAGATCAATGAAAGATGACTGGAGGAAGTGGAATTAGCATAAGATGCGCTGTTCAAAAATTGTGGCGACTAATTATTTATTAATTATTCAATTATTTGCTGTCTCCGCGCTTATAGGGTGAGAAAGGAGATAGCTGTACCAGCGCCAGCACCACCACCAGCTACAGAAAAATTGTGACATCAACGCGTCTGGCCTCTGCTCCTTGCAATTCTCGGCTGGAAGGCCAGCTGAGGTACGACAGAGGCAGTGGAAAACTGAACATCTGCAGTCGGAAACAATGGCTACAAGTGCAGACTGTCCTGCAGGGAGAGGTAAATAACTCGCCACCCAGAAAGTCCTGTCTTGACATTTTGTTCAGTGGTGAGAGCCAGGGTGATGGTATGTACTGGATTAACCCACTTGGTGTGGACAACGAACGTAATGCATTTCGTGCTTACTGTGACATGACAACGTCGGGTGGAGGATGGACTCTGGTTGCCAAGATAACCCATGACTACAGCTGGGTGTGTCCTGATAGAGATGGAGCCATGTGTCTTGGTTCTAAAACTGACCCTCTTTATGCGAACTTGTTCCATGACATCCACCAACGGGACAGTGTAGACATGTCTATCAAAAGTAACTCTGACGCTGGAGTCCATTTGAACAACACTCTCATTCGATTGCTCTTCGTGTCCGGCCGTCAGTCTGTAAGGTTCACTTTTGTGGGTTCTGGAAACGGTTGGACACCATCAGAAGACGCTTACGCTGCCTTCAACCCAAGCAAAAAGAACTCCATGTTCGTAGACCACGAGTGGGGAGAATACACTCTTGAAGATGTGGACTACACCTGGAATATCATCAAACACAGCCGCAACGACAAGAAATTCACTGGCAGAATCATCTGCTGGGGAAACAAGGTCAAGCAATCCTATCGCTTCTATGATCATGGTCTTCACGCCGGCTCACCGGCGTCTGCACACAAGCCATGCTTGCTGGACAATAATGAAAACGAGGTCATGCTCAAGAGCCACTATGCCACCCTACAAGACTCTCCTCTTAAGGCACGCTGGGATATGGCCCAGTTTGGCTTCCTTGGGGCCCGTCATGTGCAGGTGCCCAATAAACGTATTGCAATATGGATACGTTAAGAACTCTGACGGTAGGCCACAAGGTCCTCATCGACAACGTAATTTCGTGAATAACTTTGGTTGGCTAGGAACATCTTTGGAAATATTCTTGTTGTTTGGGACCCAAAAACATGATATTGCAAATGTGATATTGTAATGTGCATTGTTCAAGGAAGACCTGGTAAAACAGGCGCAATTAATTTACAACCATATATTATTACCCTGCAACCCTTATCTCAGCAGAAACAATAATTTCAGTTACTAGTCCCCATGCCATATGTTGAAATAACTGTATCGGATGGACGAACTTTGGATATGTTTCCTGTTAAAATTCCGCACAGAGTTAGGGAATCTTTTACTATTAAATATCTATCCATCATTACGATCCGATGACTAGTGTGGAAAAGTAGTAACAGGTGCTAGGGAAGCAATATCCAAATTTTGCTTCGTTGCAATTGTGACTGAGCTAATGTGAATTGAATTTCTCTGCAGAGTAATCAACTGCAGTGTTACTTTGTTTCAGTTTTGACTTTCTGTTTTATTCCTCCACCGGATTTGTTGAAAGCCTTTATGATCCAGAGAGTACACTAGTTTATGATGTTGTAATAGTAACAGCCTGCGACTGGGCTGGAGGTAACAGATCTTTTTTGCTCCTTCTATGACGTTTCCATGTATTTCAGAATGGCAGCTACACAGTTAGCCGATTGATACGTAGTACCAAACGTCAAAATCGGTTTGACCCATCGATGCAAACCTGTTTTTACGTAATCAAGGAGGTAAGAGGTGGAAAAAAGAAGTAGACATACAATTTTTGAGGTATAACCTTCAACTGAGAAGTACTTTAAAAATTGATGGTTTCCATATTTCTCCTTACAAAGGATTGATCTAGAATAAACTAAAAGATGTTGTCGTTTGCCAGTCAGGCGTGAACAGTTCGAGCCGGTCTGTTACCGTGGTAACGTTTTAATCTATCTTGATGTTTCACCGGCCTTTATCTGTTTATTTACTTCAAAATTTCAACGGCGTGAGCATGTTATCGAGTTATCAGGGAGACGAAAACACTGGTAGGCGCTATAAAAATCATGCTCTCACGTACTTGTTGGTAAGCGTGCCTGGGGCTAAACTGGTCAGTCAACGCTCCTAATACATTGAAACCTGCTGGTGGTCGGCGGCGCAAAAATAAACAACGTATACAAACAGATGCACACTTGAAAGCAAACCCATCTGAGAATAGCTGCGATTCTCTTTCTATGTATTTAGTCAAGAGGTTTCTGTCTGGCGCCAGTGCAGCTTTAGGAACCTGAAGATATAATCTTCTATTAAAAGAAATACAGTATACAAGTGTTAATTGAAATCTAATCAGACCGGGGTGACTGCGCCTGCGCGTCAGGCAGAAGAAGCGTCCAGAAGTTATTCAAATCATATTGACATCTTAAACAGTAAACAAGCCATATTATACTTATCTTCAGCGCCGGCTTCTTTTAAGTTTAGCTATCAGAGAAGCTGATCTTAAAAGCTTTCATTAAAAAACGAAAAAGGGAATTTGTTAGAGGAAATGAGTATTGAATTAATGATTCTCACATTTACAAATGCGCCGACTTCCCGCCCTTTTTGGCAAGGTTGGGACAAAAATTGCGCGCAAGTGCGTCATATTTAAGAGAATATAAAAGACCGCTGTAATTAAATCTTCGTGAGTGAATGTTTATACAGATACCGAATAGGCTCAGTAAATTAATCATGCGGTTGTCACATATTTACTCCTGCCTCGAACTGTACATACTAGAGTTACTGGTGTATTCAAGATAATTAGACAGACGAGTGGGTAAAAAAGCGACTTTTCGTGTGTGATATTCATGTAAAGCTGGTTTGACAGTCATTCTGTATTGAATACTGGATTAAACTGTATATTTAATGTTATGACTAGCTGCCTGAGGTTTTATTTCCATCTACAAACTCCCAGTGCAGTAAACTATCACATGACACATCAGGTCAACGTAATCAACTCTTCTCCACATTGTGAACAAAAAGAGCCCTAAAACATGGGGAAAAGTAAACAATCTAAAAAATAATAACAAAAAAATAAGCTAATAAAATTTGCAAAGACAAAGTGGTGCCACTATTTACGTCGTATTAATAAACATCACATGATGCACTGAGCTTACATTTTTTTGTCAATTGGTATCCGGCCGTTAAAGTTAATAAAGCTTGTGTTAATATATTTAAGTTGCCGACCTCGTAAATCTGTTGCAAGTCAGCTCACCAGGATTTAACAAAGTCTTTTGTGGTACACCGCCGAGCACGTTTCGACAATTGGAAATTTAAGACGGGCACAATGAAACAAACGGGATAATTGGAATAATCACCCAATTCATTGCAATACAATACACTTCTCCTCAATACTTTTCTAATTCTAATAAAAGTCTCAAAGATGACAGAGAAATAACATTTTAGCGCATTTTAATGAAATGTCACCAATCTGGCATGATAAGAACTGAGCGACCTCTTCAAAACTTCTGAATGACTCTAGTGCTTTTCCTCTCCAGTTGATAATTCAGGGGCACCAAACGACTGTTTTCTGTAAAATATCTGCTCGGAGAGGCGATTATTGCCAAGAATTTCTATCCCTTGAGAACGGCTAAAACTTTTCTAGATAACCTTTCCATTCATGAACAATTTTCGAAGCTTATCTAATTTTCCGAAGTTTAATTTTCACATTTCACGTCCCAAGTTTAGCCATTTTTCGTAGATAAAAGGAAACTGAAGTTTCGGATTCAAAAATGTGATGGAGAGAGGAGTCAGAAAACGTCTCACTTTCGTAAGACTCAAGTTCCCCTAGGATGACCCAAGAGATACAAATTTTATAGCACCACTTGCGGGGGAATGTATTTCTACAGTCATCTAACAGTACTCTGGATAGCCTAAAAAGCGTTTAGGAAGCTGTCGTTGGGTGGCCCTGATAATTAACGACTGGACAATTTGGAGACCCTAGTTTGGCAGTTTAGGACCAGCTAGCCCACTATGACCCTCTTAGAGGACAATCGTTAACACTGCATTTATTTAATTCCACAACCGTACTGATCTAAACCACACTGATGTGACCAAAGCCTCCAGTGTCATATTGGTAGGGGAAATTATAGCTAATTATTCTGATCTTCGGTAACTAGAAAAACTGTCCGGAATAGAGGGCTGTCTGTATGATGGAGGTGTAGCTAGGGCGGCTGGACCCTTGTTAGAGTCTTACACCTTCAGTTTATTAACTCCGGTCAGCGTTGTCTATAAATATAAATGGAGATAATCTCTTTTCTCAAATTTTCTGAGGTCAATAGCACATGGCTCCACACTGACGCAAAATTTCGAAACGTTCTGAGAATTTTACCTTCACATTTTTAAACCGATTCCAGATAAAGAAATGTGCGAGACACTGAAAGCAAAAATAGCCTTTTTGCTTTGTCTGGTTTTAAACAGCGCTTTAACATGTGGTTGATCACTGAAACTAGTCTTAACATGCATGTCGTTAGCAGAATATGGTTTCCCATGCTTTTGCTTTACAATAGTTTGGTTTTCCCTTGAAAGCTAAGGATATCGGGGCAGTTATAGTCCCGGGGGGGCACTGTAGGAATTTCTGGGTGGGGATGTGCCGCTGGGAGCCTGGAACACTTAACCTTCACCAGAGCTAGTTCAGCTGAATTTTGCTACCCTATACTAGAGTAAACTCCCCAAATCCCCCCTATCCTAGAGTAGCTGTGTACCTAGTCTAGATAAAATCTTCAACCAACTGATCAGTTTCTATCTCTATCAACTCGTTACATTTTTGTGAAAAGTACTACCCTATGTAAGTCCAAAACGCTTTATTTTTAATCCCTCTCTCGAGAAAAAATCGTTTGAAACCCATCCCCTTCACCGCCCAAACCCATTTATGGGCTTTTTAGGGCAGTCCCCCCCCCCCCCCCGGGGTTATAAATTCAGAGGTTCTGAAAGATGTCAACGTGATTGACATAATAATCAATCAGTAAGTTTCTTAAAATTTGGGGACGTGTTGAGAGTTACAAGGCTGTGTACTCAATGTACTTTGAATTTTCGTCAATAAGGCTACGATGATTCTGCGCCTGAAGCAACATTGATAGATAATTTATAGTGCTTAGAAAAAATTCTGATGTATTCTCGTTATCCAAGGGAAATTAAGAGAGAAAAAGATTAAGGTGTACGGTATCATTAAAAAGTAACAAGATAGTCAAGAGAAGGGCATCCGGAAATCGGAAATGCCTTGGCTTCAACAACCATGTCACAACCGCTCATCAGCTTTATCAGTATCAGATGTTCCTTCATATAAGACAATGACAAAGTACAAGGCCTTTTTTAAAGGCAACTATCAAAATTAAAAAGTGGCCCTCCACTTACTATAAAGCGAATTTTCGAAAACCTTTTAAAAGTCCTGGGCCTTGGCACAAGTTCTCCCCAGTCAGACCAAGAAAGTAAAGTAAAAGTAAAGTAATAACAGTAAAAACTACTTGAAAAAAACTTAGGCATCAAATTGAATAGCAAGACTTGAGAGAGATGTATTGAAACGTCCCGTTGAAAAAAATGTTGTCTATCAAGTAACAGGAGAATTCCAAGAGGGTAAATTAACTACAGAGGAGGTGTCATATGAATGGTCGCATCCTGGATGCATTATAGGATTTTATTCGTACTCTCAAGGTTACAGAACTGCATTGCACCCTTAATCAATATGATTACTTTTTCTAAAAACGTTAACATTCTGCCCCAGTTGTTAAGAAGGCGGACAACGTCTCTGGATAAATCCCTACGCAACCGGTTTCCCAAATTGATCCAGTGCACAGCGCTATCCATATTTTGAACAACCGGGGCCAAATGAAGAAAGTGATAACGCAAAGAGCTCGTTTTGAGACAGTCCGTGGAAGAACTGAAAAACGACAGGCATATCATGTTTGAAACCTCCGAAAAGCAATAGACAGCCTTACGGCATATATACTCAAGGAAAGAGTGAGCCATTCTCGGTACAGGAACGGCCGGGGGTGTAAGAGATCAAAGGTCAATATATTAATTTAATAAGGACAATAAAAAAACAGAACAAATAAAAGTCATAAAAGGAAAAAGACAAAACCTTTAACCAAGAGGACATGGGATCGAGAAGGGACTGCAATCTCTTTTGTCATCGACGCGTTCTCCCCAGCTGCAGCATCAGAAAATATGATTGGTTTATAAACAATGAAGCGCTGTCCACACATTCTCTTTTCCTCTTCTCCCTCGCGCGATTGCCTCGCTCGCTCGCACGTAACATGCTGGTCCACATGGCAATCTGAGGGACTGTTAGCAGTGTCTACAATACACGTGCTTCTTTCAAGGAAACTGTCTACAATTAATTCATATCCGATTGCCTTGGTGCCCATGCGAGAGGGAACATAAAAAAGGTGTAATTGATCATCCTCATTCCCCACCTCGATGTAATAAATTCACCCTTATCAAGAGTTCTGCCCTTATTTCAGGGGCGGATCCAGGATTTTTTTTAGGAGGGGGTGCACCCGTAATAAGTCCTATACGTTTTTGTTTTTTTTGCAGAAATTCCCGTGGATTAGAGAACCGCTGGTGTCTTGAGGGGGGGGGGGGGTGCGCACCCCCTGCACCCTCCCCCTAGATCCGCCCCTGTATTTGGTCTTTGAAACGTAAGGAATGGCACCCACAAAGAAAAAAAAAGGCTACACCACTTAATTGTCATGATGACTTTAATTCCTAATATATTTTTTACCTAAACCATGCTGATTCTGATCATCACTACAATTGTATATGTCTTCATATGTTTTACCCCTTAGCGAGTATTATACATAAAAGAGTAAAATTTACAATTGTCGGAAAGTCTATTGATCAAGTTCTAGTTTTAAATATTAAATTCAAATCAACTCTGAGAGGAAATTACATACGTTAATTATAACTACATGATAGAAAGTAATTATAACGTGCATTACTTCAATTTGAAGCTGTCTGCTCGTAATCGTAAAAAGTGAAAAGAAACCAATTCTGTTGATCACCCTCATCGTTCACAGCTCAAATAAAACAAATACTTTTGTTGATTGATTTTGATTCAACCAAAGGATTTTTTGAAGTTACAACATATTGAAGAGAGTTTTATACATTATTACTCTGAATGTTATTTTTGTACACTAAACTATCGCATAGCACAGCCTTCGTCTCCCACAATCCACCATTACCATCCAACTTCGAATGTGTAATTCATTTTTCCGGGTGATTCAGACCAATTATACAGACGAAACTCTTGCTTGTAATAAAACTCGGTCATCGTTTCTATATCCTCTGTTACACGTTCTCTGTTGAAGTAAAATCAGTTGTACATTTTAATCTGACAGGAGCTGACACTTCCCAACCTTGAACTCGGTCGTTGTTAAATTCAACTTCTTTATTTCCTCGTTTGTTAGCTTTAGCTTTTTCTGAAGCCTTCTCATCCGCATTGGGCGTCTTCTACTGATACAGGTAAATCCGGGCAAGCAAGGACAAGAAAATGACACTTCCTAAACGATAAAACAATTAAACATACTGTAACTTACAGAAATTATAGATGTGTTCTAAGCGTTCAAAGTAATTTTAGGTACGAAGACTAAAGTTAAGAGCAGAAAAAAACTTTCCTTATGAGAAACACTGGAATTACGTAGTTGAGAGTCAGTGGTGCATCGTAGTCATGGAGAATTCAGCCACTAACATTGTGCGTCCAAGTTTAGCAGAAATAAGGAAGCTAAATCAATATAATAATAATAGAATAATAATGATAATGAATATAATAATGTCTGCCTTACATACGGCGACCAAAAGGCATCTGCGTATAAGCATTAAACTGGAAATGTCTGACATTTGTCAGACATTATGGTGGCCATCCACTTTTTGTTCTGATACGACCAATGTCATACACTATGGCATCAAGACGTAACTCCCCAGTATGGGAAGGGCTACAGTAATCTTAGTTATATCCCATATACCATTCTTCAGTTTAAATATAACTAATTTTACCATAATAAATTATATTTATGTGAGACACCTTTCCTCATACACACCTCATCTGGACAGAAAAACAGACCTGTTCAGTCTCGAGCCAGAATCGAACCGACGTCTCCCCGGTTAGTGGTCGGGCCTGAGTACTTTCCATTGATGATAAGCCAAAGGTGATACCGCTCCATCTAGAAACGAATGCTGCGCCATCGCAGGGTAAACCCAATCATAACCCTTTTGGTACGCATTCCCACGCAGACGAGGCAACGTGGAATAAAATGCCTTTTCCAAACAACGTCGATCAAACAGCTGTTGAGTTCCAAGTCGATAGGCTATATGTTGGCCACTATAGCATTGCGCTTCCACGACATTTTAACAGGCTTCAGTTTATTTTTTGCTATTCAGTTAAATATGTTACAATTTTCTACACTCACCTCTGCAACACAAAGTTGTCCAGGCAGGCGATAGCCAACGCATAACCCTAGGTCACTCAGGCAACATCTCCCCTTTCCGCATTCTGAACTCTGACTGCAATTTAAAAAGACCGGGCTTGGATCGTCAGGAACTTCCTTCAAGGCCCGAGCGATGCACACACCGAGAGCATTCTTGAGCGTTTTGTCTTGGGCGCCAGTTCTAGTTTGATCTCGTCGCCGCATGCCAATCAGAAAATGGCAGAATTCTGTCATCTTGCAGTCGGCATGAGAACTACAGGCATACGAACCTTTTCGAGTTGGATCCGTTGTGGCTGGTGTGGGAAATGGTAGGCATAAACGGCTCAAGTTGTGGCAGAATTCTCCGCTTTTGCAGTCCGTATTTGATCTGCAGTCAGGGACAGGTGGGGAACTTGTAGGTTTAAAGTACAATGTGAGATTTGGCAAGCACATATTAAAAAAGTCGTGGCAGTATTGCCCGCCGGGGCATTCAGAATTATCATTGCACATGTGAATGGCTGCACGAGACTTGGTTGCTATAGTTGGTTGCATACGAGGAATGTCCACGCAGGTCCCAAAAATTGCATGGCAAGATTGATTTCGGCGGCAATCATCGTTGCTCTTGCAGGAGGGTGATGTTCTAGTATTTTTCGTTAGTTTCATTCTTGTTCTGTGCGTTTGCTTAGGGAAACAAATCTTGAAGACGCTGTGACACAGCTCGCGCTTGCGACAGTAACTGTGGTCCTGACAATGCATAGTTGTCTTCCGGGACCTGTGGTGCGAGCTTCTTCCAAGTGACTATTGAAAAGAAAGACAAGTAAGTTACAGGAAATGTCTTCTTAGTTGTTTGCAAGAGATATTTGACCAATCAGAGCGTTCCCCGTCTCCTTTTAGCTGGGATATACCTACGCAGACCGTTAGGACTCCGTCCTTTTTTTTCTCTTAAATGATCTACGCAGGACTAGCTACAATCCAAGACAAAAGTAGTTTGGAAGGTTGTAGAACTTAACGGTAGTTCATTTTATTGTTCAAAAGATGGCTTTCCCTTTTGCTAAATATCCCCTGTCTCCCCACCCCCATATTCAAGTTTGGGATATAAAAGAGCAATTACCCGCACAAACACTCAAGTTTTGTTCAACATTAGGCCAGGGACGACGGGAAAAAGATCAAAAAAGGCAAAGAGTAGCTGCCTTCCAAACACTTTTGACGATGACTGTGGCTTTACCGGGATGGGCGCGTTATCTTTATTAACCCTTTTAGGATGATCTTCTCCCTCAGGAGTCTAATGTAGACATTTGTCAGTTTAAGTGGTCCAAACCCTTTTCTATACCCTGGTGCAAGAGACTTTTCATGGGAGGTTTACAGTTTCGTTCAAGTCTTCATATTTCTAACGTCGCGGTAAACCGCTCGTGGGTTCGGACTTTGGTCTAAAATGTGTCGGCTTGCTGAAAAACCACGGCGATCTCAACCGACAATATTTAATTTGTCAGAAATGTATGCTTGAATGCTTATGCTAAGTATATATTATTTTTAGAAAGTCACAACCAAGAAATAAACAAGGTAATTAAGAACTTGTGATGTAGAAAAGAAGAGGTGAGACACCAAGGTTATTCTATTGTAGATAAAGAGAAAGAGAAATGAAAAGACCGTGAATTCGGTGACCCCACGAGGCAGCAGTTCGGGGCCACCTTAAATTTCTGAAAACCCACGGTGGCTCAGTTGAAAATGTGCATAATAGGCCGAAAACAGATAAAGACGATACGTCTACATTAATAGACAAACGGAATTAAAATCCCGGAAGACCTGCTCCATCAAAAAAGAGATAAATAGATTTAATGCTTTAGTCTGGCGCGACGCAGAAAAAAAAACAACAACAAAAGGAAAACTATGTAAAGGCCATTAGGAAGGTGTAATTAATAATACATGAATAATTAAGGTCGGGACATCGATAGAGGAGAATATATATTTGGAATCTTAGCTTTGGATCAAAGCAGTGCGGTATCGTAGTCGGTGATCAAGGTTAGCTGTTCAATTTCTCGTAAAATAACGAATTCTTCTGTGAGAAATAAATGGGTTTCATTGACCAAGTTACAACGTAAGTGGGCCACGTGAAGAGATTAAATTAAAAGGCTGGCGCTCTGATTAAGAGTCTCTCGGACAATTTCTCCTATAACCTGCGAGTAAGCTCTCTTGGACGCTCTGACGACGGGCGCAAAAGGAGGGAGAGCTCCTTCCTTTTGTGTCCTGCTGTCCATAGAGCGCCCTGAGCCTTGCTCAAAGGCTCTCTCTCTTATGGCCCTCTTGTTAACTTTGCGACGGCCATGAACTTTGCTTCATCAACTCCGTAAAAAGTCCTCTTACGTTAGCGCTCAATTCGTTTGAATCCATTAGTCACCCAGATACGACATAAACACACTGTCATGATCATAACGCCCTCGCAGATTAAGGCCGTCGTCCACAGATGGGTAAAAAGACTAAAGAGTCAAAAAATACATCCTTTGTTACTAATTTTTGTCACAAGTATTTCCCATGACGAAGGACCAATTTTAGCGCTAAGTATATTTTTAAAAAAGGCTACAAATATCAATGTCTCGAAGCATCCGACAAGATGGGAATAATATATTTTGTAGACTGCAATATCTGAGATTATCTCTTCTTTTTATATCATAAGCCATGATTGGTCTTAGGTTGTGCGAACATGCAACATCTTTTTAAGGGTCACTTAGAGATATTTGAACGTAGTGTTCTGCAATATTTCTTTCTAATATCCTGAAAACAAAAACTATAAGAATTTAATAAATAAATCGAAAATAAACAAGCCAGTGATCCTGAAAAACATCAGTGCCATGTAATTATTTTGTAATTATGTATCTGAAATTGTAGAACGAATTTAGATAAAGCTGAAAACAGTTATAAGCATATCAAAGAAAACTCAAGTTATATTTAGAATACTCTCTGGCACCAAGCCCACTGAAGGCTCATTTTTTTCTCATTCTNGGTTTCATTGACCAAGTTACAACGTAAGTGGGCCACGTGAAGAGATTAAATTAAAAGGCTGGCGCTCTGATTAAGAGTCTCTCGGACAATTTCTCCTATAACCTGCGAGTAAGCTCTCTTGGACGCTCTGACGACGGGCGCAAAAGGAGGGAGAGCTCCTTCCTTTTGTGTCCTGCTGTCCATAGAGCGCCCTGAGCCTTGCTCAAAGGCTCTCTCTCTTATGGCCCTCTTGTTAACTTTGCGACGGCCATGAACTTTGCTTCATCAACTCCGCAAAAAGTCCTCTTACGTTAGCGCTCAATTCGTTTGAATCCATTAGTCACCCAGATACGACATAAACACACTGTCATGATCATAACGCCCTCGCAGATTAAGGCCGTCGTCCACAGATGGGTAAAAAGACTAAAGAGTCAAAAAATGCATCCTTTGTTACTAATTTTTGTCACAAGTATTTCCCATGACCAAGGACCAATTTTAGCGCTAAGTATATTTTTAAAAAAGGCTACAAATATCAATGTCTCGAAGCATCCGACAAGATGGGAATAATATATTTTGTAGACTGCAATATCTGAGATTATCTCTTCTTTTTATATCATAAGCCATGATTGGTCTTAGGTTGTGCGAACATGCAACATCTTTTTAAGGGTCACTTAGAGATATTAGAACGTAGTGTTCTGCAATATTTCTTTCTAATATCCTGAAAATAAAAACTATAAGAATTTAATAAATAAATCGAAAATAAACAAGCCAGTGATCCTGAAAAACATCAGTGTCATGTAATTATTTTGTAATTATGTATCTGAAATTGTAGAACGAATTTAGATAAAGCTGAAAACAGTTATAAGCATATCAAAGAAAACTCAAGTTATATTTAGAATACTCTCTGGCACCAAGCCCACTGAAGGCTCATTTTTTTCTCATTCTAAACTGAAAACAGTGACAACTCAGGAATCAAATATAACCTTGTCAGCCAATCATATTTGCTCAGGTCTTTTGTTTGGTAATTCTTTTCCTAACACGAAAACCGTGTCTAACATGGAAAAGACCGCTTCCGAAAGTGTTTCTCATGCTTATTCTGACAGCTTTTGCCATTTGTAATTATTAGGTCTTCATATTCTGATAATCTAGCGAAACATGATTACAACAAAATGGACTAATTGTTACACTACACTCTCTGTGTCAAAACAGTTAGTCAGAAACTAGTTGAGAGCAGAATCTTGCTTTTTTAATGAAGTAATGCTATCAAACTGACAGCTTTGATGTCACTTTTGCGGTTAAGGAATGAATTATTTGGGGTTTTCCTTCTGGTCCAGGCAAATGATTATAAGTGATAATGATAAAGTGATGGTGGAGAGGAAGTTAGGAAGTTATAATAAGTACTTTTTGTCAGTGGCTTCACAAACGCAAGGCGCGATCCAGTGACCCAATGTAAACTGAATTTCTCGACCTTGAGGAAACAAAGAATCCTTTTCTAAAACTGGACCATGTTAGGCGTCGAAACTATTTCCCTCTAGTTATTTGTCAATATATTCAGTTAAACCTCGCTGAAGTGTCATGTTTTTGAGGTTGCATTACCATGAAATTTCGGGTTCCGTATCTGCACGCGAAGATGACATGAATATTTGGACTTGAGAATCCACGGTAGAACTTGCATGTAGGCAAGAAAACTTTAGTCCATAGAATCGACGAACTTCAATCAAAGTCTCGTTTATCTGCGTCACTAAATTATATAGGTGATTTAATCTCACGCTACAGTGATATGCACTTTATATTAATCGGCTCGGTAACATACTGATACTTACTTTACTAACTGCAGCATTTTGATGTTCAGCTAGCTAGCTACAACAGAAGAGGTGTTGAAAATGCCCTCGCTACCTATAGGTTACTTTTACATAGTATGATCTACCCTGGGAACATTAAGAATTTTGTGTGGCTTTATTGGCGTGTGAAGCAGACATCAGTGCAAACATACAAGTTAGGCGATCCGAGTTCCTAAAGCGACTCATGAGAGTTAGAACGACGAATCGAACCATTTATTTCTTTTACCTTTAAATAGACATAATGCTGTGAGAAAAATCCTAGAAGTCATCTTGAGACAATTGACAAACACTTGAATACGCTCTTGAAGTACTTGTCGCTGTCTAAAATCCGATGAGATTTCTTGCTTTTTGTTCTAGCTGATAAACACGCAAGGCAGTCAAATGTATAAACTAAGGCGTGTCACACTCGGAAGTTCTGTATTGTGCGTTGAGTTTCGGAAACTTTAAATGTAAATTTTAATTGATGTTAAATCTAAATTCTGACGACATTTTTTACTCTTTGATCCCTCCGACAAAATCAAACAAATGAATTACAAGAATTTCATTTGGTCTTGTTTGTCCTTTAGTAGCAGCGTTAATTAAAATTGATTCTTTAGATAGGCTTTCGTTAATCATGTCTATGTTGAATACAACATATTTTTACTCAAAAGAACTGATTTGTACTGTGACTCCCCTACTAATACGACCATACTTTTTTTCATAAAGAAATAGAGATTAAAAAACACCATTTATTAAAAGGATTGGCTCCTCCTTTGTATTGCGAAGTGGAAAATTTTGCATAAGGGTAAATTATTAATGAGATTTATCACTACCGAGTGCCTGGCTCTTAACGTAAAGAATGAAATCACTGTCAAATTTGAGCTAAAACGCAAGGCTTTTTGAAACACATGTAAAACTGAATATCGTCGTGTGAGTCAACTTCTGTCAGAGGTGATCATGTACAAATGATCTGATCTTTTGTGGCCAATCGGCGGCACTTCAGTTCGTTTGACGGCTTATAGCTCAAACAGAAGCCGTAGGCTAATGGCCTCGTATGACCCAAGGCACTTTTCTCGGACGGTCTGACATACCTCATCAGGAAGGGCGTTACTTTTCGTTACATCCTTCAAGTCAAGTGTTGTCCCGGTACTAGAAATTACCCACTCACTTTCAGGCTTTCCTGACCATGCTGCATACAAACAAATCGTCAAGAATCCTGGTCAGATCAAATCTCAAAATTATTCAAAGGCCAAAAAAAATAATCACTATTATTATTACCACCGTGGTACACTAACTTCAACATACTCCTCCAGGCCTAAAAACAATAACTGTAAGAAATAGTCTGTAGACAGCACATGGGTGTGAGAGTGCGAGTGGGGGAGGGGGAAGGGGTGGGAGCTCGAACGTGATTGGCCCAACCCGTCACCCATATTCTTATCTTACATTCCATCATCCCCAGTTAGTTGCATGCTAATTCATAGGGCACGTATAACAGCGTTTTCAATCAACTTTCCCACAACTGGCACGCAAAATGTTTAACATACCCATCAACAAACTTTTTCTAGAGTAATCTCGAAATGTATTGGCTGCAGTTTGTGATCGAGCTTTGGACGAGTTTTATAGCATTGATATTCTCTTTTCAATTGAAGTTTCGTTCGGACAGACTCAGATCCTTGCCTTTTTACCGATTACATATATCGAAATTTTGTCATTNCATCAGGAAGGGCGTTACTTTTCGTTACATCCTTCAAGTCAAGTGTTGTCCCGGTACTAGAAATTACCCACTCACTTTCAGGCTTTCCTGACCATGCTGCATACAAACAAATCGTCAAGAATCCTGGTCAGATCAAATCTCAAAATTATTCAAAGGCCAAAAAAAATAATCACTATTATTATTACTATCGTGGTACACTAACTTCAACATGCTCCTCCAGGCCTAAAAACAATAACTGTAAGAAATAGTCTGTAGACAGCACATGGGTGTGGAAGTGCGAGTGGGGGAGGGGGAAGGGGTGGGAGCTCGAACGTGATTGGCCCAACCCGTCACCCATATTCTTATCTTACATTCCATCATCCCCAGTTAGTTGCATGCTAATTCATAGGGCACGTATAACAGCGTTTTCAATCAACTTTCCCACAACTGGCACGCAAAATGTTTAACATACCCATCAACAAACTTTTTCTAGAGTAATCTCGAAATGTATTGGCTGCAGTTTGTGATCGAGCTTTGGACGAGTTTTATAGCATTGATATTCTCTTTTCAATTGAAGTTTCGTTCGGACAGACTCAGATCCTTGCCTTTTTACCGATTACATATATCGAAATTTTGTCATTTTCTTCAGTAATTACAAGAAATGTGAGCCTATGACCGAGTTTCCAATAATATTAGCCTTTGTTTAACTGTCACTTAACTTGCTATGCCTTGTTTTTTTATGTAATCGTGTAGGTTTGTTTTGATTGTCTGAGTTAAGTCATGTCTACTATATATTCTTCCTGTTCCCTAGGTTTGTAATCCAAACTTGTCTATAATTTGGTTATTTAAGCTAGTTCAAGCTAGTTCATTTGATAGCTTACGTTAAAGTTTTAACAGCTTTATTTGCATAAAGGTAGATAGTGAAATGAGAAGGATGAGTGCAAAAAGGGTGCAACTACAGAGAATAACCAAATCCTCATACAAGGCTGAAACCCCCCTCCCCCCACCCCTATAGAACACAATATATGCAGATTGAGAGACAGTACGTACTGCATCACTGACCGACGCTTAAATGCTTGTAAAACAGCTTCTTAAACTTATTCTAACATTGACTCCCTATTCGGTAGGGAATTCCAGTTATCAAATGAATATATTTATGCCAAAACTGCCCCGAATTGCGGGGATCAGTGACCAGCTACCAGGGGAACCTATCGCAGTACTCTTTTCTTCATAATATAATGTTTTCAGGAAAACTTTATAGATCGACGAATTCCAACTTTTTGCGGAAGTTAACGTTTCCAACGCACATAAGCACATGTACCAGCGGCGCATTTACACATTAATGTGGCGATTAACGTGCAGGAAACCACTAAATTGACCGAAATGGAGTTGCTGTCATTTTATCAGTTAATTCTAGCACGTGATTTTCCGGCCTCAGTTACCGCTCATTTTTCAAGCCACATGGCGGCAAAATAATGCCATTGTGCACCTTATTGGAAAGAAGACTTCGGAATATTTGGGCCCCTCCGCAAGCGGATTTGTAATTATCGATGTTAACACTAACTTCGCCATTGCTCCGACCAGAGTTTTTAGCCTGTAAGCCGGAAAGAGAATTTACTCGCAAAGTAATTACATCTTCTCCAGTTGGTTAGTTAGTGGCCATTTCCAGGCCCAAACTCAACGAATCTTGATCGATTACGATTCCCGGAGCGATACGAATGCTACAATGTAATCGTTTATCGAGGCATCCAAGCCGGTTTCCGCTCGTTTTATATCCCTCAGGTTTATAACCTCAGGCTGTCGCTACCGTGGCGTAGAATACCAGGCTCTTGTGTAATATCCGCCGAAATCCAACTAAAGCTCTGTCCATTTCCGAGTGGAAATCGGCATCAAAGGACGTCAGTAGTCACGCGAACATTGAACGGCCGGAATGACTATGGCTTTCATCCCACTCGAGCACGTGCGTCTCTCGATAAACAAATCTCGGAGGATAAACGACAGGGTCTCCAGCGAGCCATGTAGTCGTCTCAAGGCGTTCATTCTCAGTTCTCTTTCGCCAAGAATGCAAAAAATGTGATTTAAAAAATCAATTTTATCGTCTGAGTCAGTGATGAGCTCCTGTCTGAGTTAAGGGATGGTGGGCTTCCCGTGGTATGTTTGAGAAGCTGAGGAGCCTTTCCAGGCGAGGTTACCTTGGGAACCTCAACATGGCGGATGACGAATTGGCAGCAATTCGGGCAAAACGTATGCAGGAATTACAGGCGCAATACGGAGTAAGTTCTGTCTAAGAATAAGACATTTTATTTCAGTCATTACCTAATGTGCTTTCTTGTTAATTAGGGTCAAAATGCGACTCAAATGCAGCAACAACAAGAGGCTATGCAAAGGTGGGGATATTAACCGATTGTCATTCTGAACATTATGCGCTGATCAATTCGAAACTTCAACATCCCCCGGGTAATCCCTGGGCATTCTAACATTTTAAGGCAAACCTGATTAGATTCCCGCTCCATTGTGCCAATATATTGGTCAAATGCCATACCATAAACCCCGGATGTTCGGCCGTGAGATTTACAGCGTGTATTGTTTAAACTGTACGTGAATTTACAAACATTCTGCAGGTGTATGGCTTTTAGTGATTGCTCTGTTTCGGACCTCTGAAAATGAGTCAGGGGATTTGTATCTCCCGATGATAGTCGAAATGAATACATCCCTTGTGGATGTTGCTGACAAAACCCTACTTACATATGTTAGTGAAGATTTAGATTTAGAAAACGCAGTGTACAATAATTAACAATTATTCCTCGAACCCGAATAGTCTCTGAGTCAATAACACATTCAGCCTTTGGCCTCATGGGCTATTGACTCAGAGGTCATGAGGGTGAGAGGAATGATTGTTTTAGTAAAATCCAACTAGTTGGTCAAAAATATTGAGACAAAACAACTTTAGCTAGCTAAACGCGATTCAGCCGCCATTGTTTTGGTTTTCAAAGGTGGTGCTTTTCGCTACTAGTGGGATATAACATATAGCCTAGTAGTAGCTCAACCAATCAGAATGCAGCATTTATAATAGACAAATAGTTGGATTTTGCTACTGTGTAATACACTTTGTAAGGCAGTGATATTAGGGTCATGGTAGCACGTTTCTAGACTCTTTATTATGGATGTTGCCCCTTTTAATGAAACTTTTTTCCTATGTCTAGAGTTAGCACAGGAAGGAAACTTTACTGTTCGAACTACCCAGGGTATGCTGGGGGAATGTTGAGATTTCAAATTGACAGGCGCATTATTAGCTTGTATTACTTGCTGCCTGGTTCCTTACTTTACCGATTCAAGGCGATAGCAAGTAATACACCATGGAATTAAGATAAGGTATTTTTATTGAGAAGTTTATTGTATTTATGTTTTCTAAAGCAAATCGTAAATATCCCCATACAAACTCTTATATTTTTGCATGAGCGCCATTTTACAATATTACCGTAAAATTCCGAAAATAAGCGCCGGGGCTTACATTTTTCAAAGGCCCTTTTTGAGGGGCTTATGTACGGGGGGAAATTTGCGTTTAAAAATTGATTGGGCTAGCCTTATTCTTGGAAGGAAATTTACGGTTTTTCTTTGTTTTACTTTGTATTTGAGGGTGATTTCCAAGTACAAGCCCCCTGGGGGGCTTATATTTGGAGGGGCGATTTAA